GATAAAATACCTAGCAATAAACCTAACTGGGAACATAAAAGACTTAAACAAGGAAAACTATAAAACACTACTGCAAGAAACTAAGACAGATCTACTTAAATGGAAAAATATGCCATGCTCATGGCCTGGAAGACTTATCATTGTAAAAATGTCAATACTACCAAAAGTGATCTACAGATATAATGTAATCCTGATCCAAATCCCAACAACATTCTTTAATGAAATGGAAAAACTAATCTCCAACTTTATATGGAAAGGAAAAAGCTCCCAAATAGCTAAAGCAATACCGAAGAAGAAGAACAAAGTAGACCTCTCACTTCTTAATCTCTAAACTTACTATACAGCCATGGTAATCAAAACAGCCTGGTATTGGTTCAATGACAAACACACAGACCAACAGAATAGAACTGAGAACCCGGAAGTAAATCCATCCATCTATGGGCAGCTGATCTTTGACAAAGGGTCGAAGTCCTTTCATTGGGGAAGACACAGTCTCTTTAACAAATGGTGCTGGTAAAACTGGATGTCCATATGCAGAAAAATGAATCAGGATCCATACCTCACACCATGTACAAAAACTGGATGAAAATGGATCAAAGACCTAAATGTTAAAGCTGAAACTATAAAGTTCTTGGAAGATAACACAGGGTCAAAACTAGGGAGCCTAATTTTCAGTACACACAGTCTATCAAACAAAACTAAAAATGCACAAATGACAGAAGATAAATTAGATAACTGGTAACTCCTAAAAATTAAATACTTATGCTCATCAAAAGACTCTACCAAGAGAGTAAAAAGTGAACCTACAGGCTGGGAAAAAATCTTTGGCAACAACATTTCTGATAAGGGTCTAATCTCTAAAATATATACAAAACTTCAACAACTTAACAACAAAATAACAAACAATCCAATCAAATAATAAACAAAGGACATGAACAGAGACTTCACCAAAGAGGACATGCAGGCGGCCAACAAATACAAGAGAAGATGCTTGCAATCATTAGCCATTAGAGCAATACCATCTCACCCCTGCAAAAATGGCAATGATCAAAAAACAGAAAACAACAAATGCTGGAGTGGTTGTTGGGGGACTGGAACTCTTATACATTGCTGGTGGTATTATAAAATGGTACAACCATTATGGAAAACAGTCTGGTGCTTCCTCAAAAATGCAGAAATAGAAATACCTTATGATCCAGCAATCCCACTCCTAGGTATATATCCTAGAGATACAGAAGTAGTGACACGAATAGACACATGCACACCTATGTTCTCTGCAGCGTTATTCACAATAGCAAAAAGATGGAAACAACCTAAGTGCCCATCACCAGATGAACTGATAAACACATTGTCGTACATACATACGATGGAATACCATGCAACTATAAACAATAATGCGGAGTCCACAAAACATATCATGGATGAATCTGGAGGACATTATGCTGAGTGAAATAAGTCAATCACAAAAAGACAGATATTGTATGTTCTCACTTTTATAAAAAGTGAAGAATAGATTTACACACAGAAATCAACATTCTTTGATGGCTACCAGGGATAGGAGGGGGAGTGAGGGAGAATCACTTTCTAGATAGTAGACATTTGTTTCTGGTGATGGGAAAGGCAATACCCAATATGGGTGAAGTCTGCACAACTTGTCCAAGGTGAGTGAAGACACTAAGAAGTACACAAGCATAAGGGACAATTCCGTAAATGCTGTAACAGAGAATTTTGCAACAACAATAACAACCGAAGAAAAAAGTGGTTACATAGGTAGACATGTATGCACATATGTGTATAGAAAGGCACATGTGAGTATATGGGTGTGCATGTACAGGTGTATCTGTAGGCATATGCATACACGTTTATGTGCACTGCATATATATCATACATATAGCACATCACACAGGGGGCACAGTTACGGATACTTCCAAGATATAATCAAACGCTTCGCAAGACTAGTTCATGGGGTTTGAAAGCTTAGGACCATAGTCTCATGGGACAACTTGGTCAACTGGCATAACATAGTTCATAAAGATAATGTTCTACATCCTAGTTTGGTCAGTAGCGTCTGGGGTCTTAAAAGTTCGTGAGCTGCATCTAAGATAAAACCATTGGTCTCTACTCGTCTGGAACAAAAGAGAATGAAGGAAATCAAAGACTCAAAGAAGAAACTAGTTCACAGGACTAACAGCCCACATTAACCACGGCCTCATCCAGCCTGAGACCAGAAGAACTAGATCGTGCCCAGCTACCACTACTGACCAGGGACACAACGGAAGGTCCTGGATAGAAAGGGACAAAAATGTAGAACAAAACTCAAATTCCTAAAAAAAGATCAGGCTTACTGGACTGTCAGAGACTAGAAGAACCCCCAAGACTATCGCCCTAAGATGCCCTCTGAACCTGGAACTGAAACCACTCCCGGTGGTCACCTTTCATCCAAATAATAAATTGGCTTATAAAATAAACACTATCACCCGTGAATACTGCGCTCCCTTAAATATTCAACTATATGAGACCAAACAGTCAACATTTACCCTAAAACAAAGATGAGAAGCTAAGGAGGGGCAGAGAAGCTAAATTAATGGCAACAGAACAAAAAGAATGGAAATAATGAGAATGTTGACAAGGTGTGGAAAATGTAACCAATGTTAGTTGTATAAAAAATTGTTACATGGCCCACCCTGTCTGGAGCAAGGGAGAATGAAGAAAACCAAAGACAAAAGGGAAAAATTAGTCCAAAGGACTAAGGGACCACAACTACCACAGCCTCCACTGGACTGAGTCCAGCACAACTAGATGGTGCCTGGCTACCACCAATGACTGCTCTGACAGGGATCACCATAGAGGATCCTGGACAGAGCTGGAGGAAAACGTAGAACAAAATTCTACCTTACAAAAAAAGACCAGACTTACTGGTCTGACAGAGACTAGAGAAACCCCAAGAGTATGGTCCCTGGACACCCTTTTAACTCAGTACTGAAGTCACTCCTGAGGTTCACCCTTCAGCCAAAGATAAGACAGGCTGATAAACAATAATACACGTAGCTCAACCATGTATACGGACTAAATGGGCACACCAGCCCAGAGGCAAGGACAAGGAGGCAGGAGGGGACAGGAAAGCTGGAAGAATGGAAATGGGGAACCCAAGGTCAAGAAGGGGAGAGTGTTGACACGTCACAGGGTTGGCAACCAATGTCACAAAACAATATGTGTATTAATTGTTTAATGAGAAACTAATTTGCTCTGTAAACCTTCATCTAAAGCACAATAAAAAAAATGTTAAATGGGAACCTAATTTGCTATGTATTCTTTCACCTAAAACACAATAAAATATTTTTAAAAAAGGAAAGAAACTAAGTCCAAGAAACACTAAGTTTTAAATTTTCTAAGAGGACTGACTAATGGTATCACCTATATACTCAGCCATTTATTTTTAGGTTTATAAATACCACAGTTAAATTAGATTATTCCTTAACCTACTGTATTATGTATTATTTTATAATATATACATCTTATTAGAGCAAATGAATGCTTTTTAATTATAACATCAGTCATTATAATAAACATGTCTCATTAAAATTAAGGTAGAACATAATAAATATTTAATAATACTATATACGGGTTTTTTTTAAACTCCTTTAAATGACTATCTTAAAATCTTATTTTCTCTTTTAAATACTGTTTTTTAGAAGTCATAGTAAGGGGAATTTATGGTTATGTTTTTCCAAAATAAGGTAAATCTATAACAAACAGTCTGTAAAAGTTTCAAGTAGGAAGAGACAAAATGTCACAGGTATTCCAAGTTATTTATATAAATACAGTCTTCTTCTCCTCTCTTACTTTTAGGCACATTAATGGAGGAAGGAGTATTGAGAAGAGAAACAGACCTTCCCAGGATAACTCAGAAGGGCAAAGTAAGACTGAGGTTTTATTTCATTCTACTAGTCCAAGCAAGGAGTCCCTGCGTGGTACTTGGCCGCTCACCGAAAGGCTGGAGGTTGGAGTTCACCCAGAGGCATCTCAGAAGGCCTGGTGATCTACTTCTGAAAAATCAGCCATTGATATTGACCATGAACGCTGATACGTGTTTTTTCACATTAAGGCAAAAACACTTTAGCCTCTTTTTATTAATATCTAAATTACTATATGAAGCGAGTTTGTTACTGATCTTTCATTAGCGTTGACTACTCACACTATTTGAGGAAAATGAGTCTCAGAGTGACTAACCCAACATCAGAGAGTCAATTAATGACACAGCTTGGCCTCAAATGCAGTTGATGGTTTTTGTATTTTACTGTTCTCCCTCTCATGGTGGCAGATTAAGTGAAACATGTTCAGTTAGTAACTCTGGGTCTTACATTTTAAAAGAAATACTGACAAATGAACTCCACCCAGAATCAAATGGCCAGGGTAGTAAAGGGTTTAAAAATCATGTCACACGGAAGGCCTTTTGAGGCCAACATCTAATACTTTAGAATGAAAACACTAGACTTGGAAGGAACTAGACCTGAGGGGGCTTTAAACTCTAAGCCAGAAAGCAAGCTAGAAAGAAACAAACATTTTGATTACCTCTGAGAATTGCACCCAGCTGTGATCAAAACAGTTAACAACTAGTGAGAATGCCAACTTCTAGAAAGGTATTTATTTGATCAAACATTTATTCTATAAGACTATGTGGTACTGTTTACCTTTCTTGTTAAATTTTTATTTACAGAAACAGACCTCTGGAAAATTCCTAAAACTAATCTCTAGCTCAGCACCCTTGAAGGAAGTGGCTGTAAATGAAGACTATGGCTTCAAACTCCAAGCCCATCTTTCCTGCCATGCAGAGGCAGCATACCTCAACCACAAATTCAACTCCAGGTGTTTATGGTCTATATAAACGTCCAAGGACTCTTCCAAACTGTGTTAAACACATAAAGAAACTACAGTAATGCAACCTTTCACTAACATGCAGGCAGTATTCTTATACCGACATCACTTTAATAAATTCTCACCTTCCAAGGCCTTCTAATCCCTTTGAAAAAGTCAGGCATCCACATTGGAAGAACAACAGCTTCCCTTAGCAACTTCTTAGCTTCTTCCAAATCAGCTATGTCATCCCTTTGCAAGAACAACAAAGTTTCATAATGTTTATTCAGAGACACTTTGATTTATGGTCAATACTAATTATTTTCATTTTGTGAAACTTAATTGTTTTTACATTAAGAACTTTATTCTAAGTCTTACTGCCTACAATGGTGAGAACATACGGAAGTCATTAATTAAGACACATTATTTGATTAACAACCTTTGTCGGTCATGTTAACATCAAACTATCATTTTAAATTTCCTTGGTTATATTTTAACAGAAGAACTGTCCTGTCAATTCTACATGCTCATGTTATGGATGAAATCATTATTAGGAGATTAACGGAGAACAAGAGAAGATTCACGCCAAACCAACCTATAACTTGTCTTCTTCTTTATTTTAATTTAATAACATAAAAGACTCTAACCAATGAATGCTAGGATTCCTGGAGACAATGTCTCTCTCAAGAGCTTCCACCAGATCTTTATCATATCCAGCACCATCAAATTTTGGAATTTCACCATCACCTGCACCATCTTGCAAATTTTTCCTTCCCTGGGGACAGGTATAAAAAGAAGTACAGATAAATAATAGGACAGTTTTTATTAACATCATTAAGCTTTCAAAATACTGCAATCACTTTGAAGATTTTTTAAATTATTTTATGATAGTGTTTTCTGATCACCCAAATGCCACCATCCTCTATTTAATTTATCAGAAATGGATGAACTGTATTGGATGGGTGTATGTTTTGTTGTGTATATTTCAACACAATAAAAAAAAATGTGTAGTGTCAAATTAAAATTAAAAAGAATTAAAAAAAAGAAAAAAAATTGATGAACTGGTCGACTTTATTGTGAACGTCTTCAAATTTACATTCTTGGGGGATGGTTGCAGATAAGACTAAAATAACCCTTGCTAGATTCTTGATCAGATACTAATAGATTAGGAAATACCTCGGAATTTGTGGTGCAGAGGGTTTCCACCACACCCAGACAATGTTCAGAATAATGACGCAGAGGAAGAAAGAAAATTAATTTACTGAGAACCAGAAAATCTCACATATATTGTTTAAGACTGACAACAACCATTATTTTTATAGATAAGAAAACTGAGACTCAGAAAGGTTAAGTATCTTAATCAAGTTCAGTATAGCAAAGGTCAGGGTAGAGGTTTTCACTCAGGCCTTCCTAACTCCCTAAACCCATGCCCCTTCTACAACACCGACTGCCTTAAGCCTGGCTGAGTTAGCTTAACGCTTCCCGTGCCCCCAAAGCACCCAAGAAAGAGGCTGCAGATGAGGAAAGAGCTGGGGCTCTGCAACTGCCTCTTACAAGGCCTCTTCCCTGTAAGCACCCCCTCAGGAATCAGGGTTTCTTCCTAATAAGGTCCTCGAACCACATCAGAAAGTCACTGTAATGACGATGCTAAAAGGATCTTTGCAAACAGTATTATTAAGACCATAAAAGCAATAGGCTTTACCCTCAAATTTCTATTTAATAATATGGTGGCTTTAAAAATGAATTATATGCTATGGTTTCTACAGGGTTCTGCCAAGACTGATTCAGCTTTGAGGAGCTTTAAATGAAATACACTCAGCTCCAGAGATAGTTCAACCACTAGGACCACTTCAGCAGCAGAGCCAAGTACCTCCCTAGAGCTTCAGCACCCCCAGTATCATGTAAAATGTCTCACCTACAAATGAAGGAGAAAAATGGCCACAATGAGTCAACATCCTGAGCTTACATCTGAAAGGAGAACAGGATGAACCTCTTTCAGCAGCCCTTCTTCTGAGATAAACAAAAGGCTCAATCATAAGAGGGAACTACATGGCTCCCTTCAAGCAGAGGCTCTGGTTCTTTTCAGCCACCAGGAAAATGATCAAACAGCACTCTGGTGACAACGTAAAAAACGAACAATTTCCTATTTCTGGGCAGTATGAAAGCAGTATTAGGCTAAATTTTCAATATCAACACTATGAAAAGGAGGAAATTTCTGGCATACCTACACAACAAACATAACATCAATACATTTAAAAGCACTGTCTAGAATCACGGTTTATAGCACAGACAGGCCAGGGCTGCAAAGTCACATCCAAACAAATACACTGCAAACACTCTGTGATCGTTTTAAAACTCTTCTAGAAATAAATCAGCTAAAGGGTGAAACAGAAACTGACCCATTTGGGACTAACAAGCCTTGATATGTCAATGTAATTTGAGACTTACTAAGAATACTTTAAAATGTAAGCAGATAGGCATTTTATTTATATTTTATTTTGGAGGAGGGAGTTGTTGTTAGGTGCTACTGAGCTGATTTTGACTCACGGCAACCCCACGTGACAGAGGAGAACTGCCTCATATGGTTTTCTTGGCTCAAATCTTTACGGGAGCAGATTGCCAGGTCTTTCTCCAAAAGGCCACTAGGTGAGTTTGAACTGCCAACCTTTTGGTTAGCAGCCAAGCGCTTAACCGTTTGTGCCACCACAACTCCTTTGCAGTAGGCATTTTAATATGAATTTCCAAGGGAGGAGGGCTTTACAAACTCTACCAAAACAAAGGAAAAGCTGCAACCCATCTAGCTGTAAGTATTAGAAACCGTAAGATTTTAACAACAAAAACTTGAACATCTACTATATGTGTAACACCTTTTATTGGGTATTAGGCTTTAGGGCAGTGAATGAAAGATACAGTGTCTGCCCTCATCAAGCATCTAGTCTAGAGGGGAGAACAAGAAAACCGAACAAAAACTCACAGTTATAAAGTGCCGAAGAAGAACTGAGAGGTCAATGTGGCTAAAAGGTAGTGAGTAAAAGGGAAGAGGCTGGAGAGATGGGCAGAGGCCAGGCCCCTGGGCCCCTACAGGCCACAGGTAGGAGTTTGGATGTTACTCTAATTATTCTCTCACAGTCCAGTAGGCTGCAAGTTCAAATTCAGGGCATCAGCTCCAGAAGAAGGCTTTCTCTCTCTGTTGGCTCTGGAGAAAGGTCTGTGTCATCCATCTTCCCTTAGTCTGGAAGGTCCTTGAAATGCATCAGTCTTCCCTGGGTCTGGAAGCATCTCAGTGCAGAAACCTCAGGTCCAAAGGACGCACTCTGCTCCCAGCACTGCTTTCTTGGTGGTGTGACGTTCCTGTGTGTCTCTGCTCGCTTCTCTCTTTCATATCTCAAAAGAGATTGCATTAAGACACTATCTAATCTTGTCAACCTCATCAGTATAACCTCATCATAGTGATAGAATTTACAACACATAAGGAAATCACATATGATCTCTTCGTAGTGGTAGAGTTTACAACACATAAGGAAATCACATCAGATAACACAATCATACAATACTGGGAATCATGACCTAGCCAAGTTGCTACACACATTTTTGGGGGGACACAATTCAATCCATGACAATGGGGGAACATTTGAACTGTGTTAAGTCGGGGAATGACATGTTCGGATTTACATTTTAAATGACCCTTCTGACTGCTGTATGGAAAACGGACTGAGGAGGCCAGAAAAGCAGCAAAGAAACAAAGGCTGCTGTAGTACTTAAGCCTCACAAAGAGGGAACGTGGATACAAGCTGGTGAAATGATTGGCCCCAGAATCTAAAGCTTCTCAATGGTACAAATAAGATGAGAATACAAATTAAATGCTCCAAAGAAGATTCTAGAAAGTTTTCCAAATAAAAATGGTGAGGGTATAAAAAACAGACTTAGGAGAATTAAAATTAAATAATTAATTTTATTATATCAAATCAGCAAAATGGGTGGCAATTATCCTTCGTAACAAATACTCAGATAATAGGGAACTCAGTTGTAAGTAATTATAGTTTCAGTTAACTAGCTAATCAGCTAACTGCAACACCTAAAAGAAACTTCATCTTCCAGCAAAGATACAATTACCTGGTGGCACACTGGTTAAGCACTCAGCTGCTCACTGAAAGGTTGGTGGTTCAAAACCACCCGGTTGCTCCACAGGAGAAAGATCTGGTGATCTGCTTCCGTAAAGATTACAGCTAAGAAAACCCTATGGGGCAGTTCTCCTCTCTCATATGGGGTCTCTATGAGTCAGAATCAACTTGATGGCATCCAACAACGTTAATAATAATAACTGCAGTGTCATTGAAATGATCTTAGAATTCTTTCCTTAGATTTTGACATTAATTGACTAATGTTAACATTAGCAGGAATTTGATACTGACCATGAAGGCTGATGCACTTTTTATTCACACTGAGGCAAAAATATTTTAGCCTCTTTTTATTAATATCTAAATTACTATATGAAGACAGTTTGTTACTGATCTTTCATTAGTGTTGCTAATCATACTATTTGAGGAAAATAAGTCTCAGAGTGACTAACCCAACATCAGAGAGTCAATTAATGACACAGCTTGGCCTCAAATGCAGTTGATGGTTTTTGTATTTTATTGCTCTCCCTCTCATGGTGGCAGATTAAGTGAAACATGTTCAGTTAGTAACTCTGGGTCTTACATTTTAAGAGAAATACTGACAAATGAGCTCCACCCAGAATCGAATGGCCAGGGTACTAAAGGGTTTAAAAACCATGTCATATGGAGGAGGCCCAAGGAAACTAGAGATATTTAAGCTGAAGAAGAAAATGCTAACAAAGCAACACAACCAACTGGTCTGCTCTATTACTCCAGAGGAAAGAACCGGACACATACAAGAAGCGACCAAGGAGGGAGATTTCAGATCAGCGAAAGAAAGAATTTTCTAACAACTGGTTCTGTCCTGCAAAGGAGTCATCTCTCTTGTTAGCTACCCAACATCAGAATTACCAGCTAATTAGTAATAAAGGCCATCGGCCCATAGTTCCAGGGATGTATAAGCTAAATTTTAAGTGACCTTTGGCTCTTTCTGTAAAGCCATCGCCACTCATTTGTCCACTTACACAACTGTTGTCTGAATTCAATGGCCCAGAACAAGTGCAAAATTTCTTGGTAATCTCATTCTTCCTCTTTTTTAAAAAACTTATTTTGTATTCCGCGTCATAGGTGTCAGTTCCCGACTTTCAGGTGATATTGACAGCTAACGCTCACACAAGCCCACCACGCGTCAGGTACTCAGTTCACTCAATCTTCTTACAAGTCCTGACATAAGCATTCCTATTATTTCCATCTCATAGGTGGTAAAACTGAGGCACAGAGAGATTAAGTAAACTGCCCATGGACACAGAGCTAGACCCTAGGCTGACTGGCTTGAGCGTGAACTGCTCCCAGGGCACTTGGGCACATGGCTGCCCCGCTGGGCTGCTTCTACCCTAGTGGGAGAAATGAGAACACTGGAAAAGTTAGACAAGACCTCTACATTGCATCCCACTCTAAGACTTTATTATTTTA